GAACTCCGCAATGAACAGCTGGCAAGTGGCTTTGGCTCATGCCAGAGAACAGCCCCATGGTGACAGACCTGCAGGTAGCGCAGGACAGCACTATCCCTCATTGCCACACATTTCTCATAACTTGCTTTATTTAAACAGTTTATGTGACAATCCACATTTCTTTTTCCTTTTTTTTTTTTTTCTTCTCTTGGTAGATTTTTCTTCATTTGTTCTCTGTACTATTAGAGCTAAGTTTTTGGGTTAACTTTAAACTATTGTCTGATTTCTCACCTAAATAAAATTTGTCTTTTTCTCCCCTCTAGCCACAGACAGGCCAAGGCTGATGCAGTAGGAACTCCTGCTGAGATTATTTCTTTGGAAAGATCCTAACTTAAAAAAAACAGATTTAAAGGGTCCATTTTGGTTTATTCAGTTCCTGGGTTCAAAATTCCTTCATGTTGATGTTAATTCCTGGAAATTTCTGGGAATCAAATAAAATGCCAATAAAGAAATAATCATCAAAAGCATTGCAGAATCATGATAGGTACTCTGTTCCTGGAAGAAGGTTACATTTGCTTTGGAAAGGGAAAGAGGAAGGGGGGGGAAATGTGAGCGAGCTCCTTTGCAAAATTACTGAATCAAATGACAAATCACTTTTCCCAGCAAACAAGCATTGGCTCAAAGCGTATAATTTTCCCCAATGCTTTTTAGATGCTAAGTGCAGTAGCACAGTTCTCTGAGTCTCTGCTAAGGGGACAAGGTGTATCCCTTGCTCAAGTTCACACTAAAGCAGTCTCTTCCTGTGACTTCTGTCCAAGGACTTCTTTTACTCCCTACTCTTCCCTTGCCCTGACATTAGACACAAGACAAATACCCAGGGAGTCCGTGCCCTGATCCTACAAACAGACTGTGATGATGCAGAGGAAACCCACGTCAGCTATTTCAGTCCTTTCACCATGTACCTTCCCTACGAGTCACATCAGAGGCACTCAGGAATTGCTCTCATGCTGATCCTCAGACCTCCCTTGTCTACCCTGCAGCTTTTCCCTCTCTTCTGGCTGCCCCACACGTCACAGTCTATGTTAAACACGGGAGTGACCCTCCTATGCCAGCTCTTGCTCAGCAATCCCTCACTCTGTAAGGGAGCTACAGGGTCCGCAAGAGACAAAGGATGAGCAGTGCAGGAGCAGTAGACTGTGACCTTGAAGACCCTTCAGAAAAATCTTCAGCAACTTCACCCTCTGCCCATCTTAGTGTTTTTTTTAAAGCATAAGCAACTGAAAATCTGAGACTATCCTTAACGTTTATAATGGGCACCATATTGAGGACAACGGTGGGCTAGCCCTGGTGCAGGGCCAAGGCGTCACTGCATACCTGGTAATCTCTCTCCCCTCACACATACATGTTTGAAACTATAACCAATGTAAGAATAAGTAGAGCATTCTATATTCAGCACCACCACAATTCACATCATCTGGATTGTCCTAATTCTGTTTCTTTTGCATCTGTACAGTATTACACATTATGATCACAACAGAGTGAAATCTTTAGCCTAAACATTAGTTGATTCAAAACACATATTCAGCAACAGCAAATTATTTCATAACTTCCTCTGTTCCGCTCAATTGCTTGTGTGAAGGAAAAGCACCAATGAAAAAATTTGCTCTGAACATTTTTAAAAGCGTATCTCAGGTTTTTTAAATCTGACATAACTCTTCAAGGAGAATTTCCCTTTGACAGATATTTAGGAAAGCGCAGCTATAGAAAATACTTTGTTCAGTCTAAAATAGAACTTCTCCTCCATTTCTCAAATCTGTGTGTGAACCAAAAGCCAATTAATTGCAGAGCTCCTGCTGTAACTGGCACCTCCAGCCCCACCTCTAGTAATGCTTGAAGTACCACATGAGAAATCTCTGTTACAAATTGCACACGTTTCAATGGATTTAAACTGAGGGCCTGTGGATGAAAACACAGCCTGGAGCCATCCCCATCTGATGGCAAACTGCAACTACTGCAGAGTTAGGAAAAGTGACGTTTCAAATGTTGTCTTGGTGCACCTAACCACCTCCCCCTGCAGGGACTCCCATATTAAATCAGCTCACTTTACAAGTCAAAATAAGTTGTTTCTGACTGTCACCACTGACTATTGCTGTCTAAGAATCAAGCTGTTTTCTTTCTACTTTATCCATTATCCCCAGATATGAAGTCTCCAAACTCCGAAAATAATTGGCAATTCTCTTGACAATGCACAAGGTAAAATAGAAGCAGCATGTTGTTCAACTGCTCAATTGGATCTGGAACAATGACAGCAGTTATAATTGCTATTACCACTTAAATAACCAGACATTATACAACTCAGAAAATGGAGGCTAAGAGATTATTAGGACCAAGATGCCAGTTTTGTCACAGGTACATTTCCAGCCAAATTTTTTTAATGTGGGAGGGAGATAATGGTAGAGGCTGAGAAAAAATACAGACATAGGTTAAATTGGCCGTGCTCTGTCAGCAGGATGCAATGACGCTCATTCTCTGGGAGATGTATTCAGGTAGGAAACAGTCTCCCTTGGGAAAATTATAGGTCTCTCTTTGCTGAGTAGTTTAGGTAACTTAAACACCTGGGATTGTGTATCCTTACAGTTAGCACTGCAGTGACCTAAGAGCAAAGAGTTTATGAACATTTCTGCACAGGTGAAAAGTGCACAACTGGAAAACTTCAGGAATGGAGCAGTTTGACTCCTAACACTGCAGCCTTCCTTCTTCTTCCCCAGGGACCCACTCTCAGAGGCAACTAGACACTGGGATATCCTTTCAGGACATTTGAAATGCAAATACAGTTTTATTTACTTCCTGACCCTTGGCTCAAAACCTCTGTATCTCTATAAATGAAAAGCAACCACTGCTATTTAGCAACAACTTCTGCCCCTGCTTCATTCTGTCAGGAGACAGAGACCAAATTTTGATGTCACTGTGACACAGGTTGGGTATTGTGGTGGCATTTGGGAACTTCTGTTTGGGGTCCCCAGGCAGTTGACACCATTGCCCTTTATCTTGCATCTTGTCTAGCAGGACAAAGCCTGGCTGGTTGGGAAACAGCTACAGGTAGAAATTTTGGTCAAACAGAGGAAAAAAAAACCCCACAAAATGGATCCTTTTTCAGTACTGACATCCTTGGTTTCTCTTCCAGACAAGCCAGTTGAATCAGCAGTCTCAGCTTTTGTCCCTTGAATACATTGTAGAAGAGCAACTGGTGATGTTGCCTTAACCTCTATAATAGGAGAAAAGGCTTTTCAATGTTCTTGTTGTGAACCCTGGGTCATGAGCATATGATTCAATTTTTTGGAGGAGAGGTCTGGCAGAGCCAATGACTTTTCAACCTACTCCTTCCTGAAAAATCTCTGGAAAATTGTTGGAAACAGTTGGTTTCAGACAATTTGTTGGGGTGATGCCAGAAACTCTGTAGTGATTGCTGAAAAAAATCTTCTAAAGGGAAGTGCTGGGAAGGACCTCTGCAAATTTTTGAAAACAATTCCATGAAAACTTTCGTCAGCTTAATCTTCATGGATTCAGCAAAATGGAAGGTGATTCTCCAGTATCTGCCTCACATGCCAAACTTCAAGCACCAGCAGCAGGTTTTGCTTTTGGCAAGGTACATCAGTCCCTCTGCACATGAAATAACTGTCAGGATATTCAAGTAGGATAGATGTTCATCCCACACTGCAGTGCCTCAAAACTTAGTGGTATTAGGGTTTTTAAGTCAGTTTGTATGCTTTTAAAATCCTATACTTCTGCTCCCAAATGGCAAAAACACCACGGTAGTTAGTACTTAACAGAACTGTGTCATAACATTTTATTCCAGTTTATTCATCTTTAAAATGTCCTGAGAGTTCTTTCTAAAATCCATGGTTGTCTTTTGTGAGTCTAATGCTCAGTTATCATATCTTTGTCTTTCTCAGTCTGGGAATGGTGGCAACTAACTCCTCTCCTTTGCATTTTTTAGTTGCTCTTCTACTATACCTTTATTTCAAGAGATTATTCCCACCTGCTACAAACCTGTAAGCAGAGTGCTGATGTAAAAAACACAGCACCAGCTGCATTCTCACTGGACCCAGATTTGAAGAAAGGCTGCCTGAGGAGAAGCCCAGATGTTCAGTCAGCAGTAAGGATCTGCTTCTGTGGAGGAGAATGGTCCCTTCATAGCAGCTCCACAGAGACACCCAGACATCTGCACCCAGCCACTGCTGCTGCTGTGCCAAGGCCACCGTGCTGCCAAGCTCCACCATACCCTCATTCCCTGCTTGCATCTGTCATCCAAATAAATCTTTTCTAGTTGTCTTGTCCTGTCTCTACAGTCTCACAGTTACTGTCTCTACACCCTGAGGGTTTGATTTTAGGGAGATGAACTGGTTTGCTCCAGCCCAGGGAAGCCAAAGGCCCCAGGCACTAGTGGTGGGCTCAGCAAAACCCAGCAGAAGGGCAACATGTGGCAAATACAGTAGCTGCACCAGCAGCAAATTGTACACAGCAGTGCTACATGGTGCAGTCTGACCATGGAAAGATTCCCTAAACTAGGTCCTAGGATACAAGAGCTGAGTATGTGATTCTACCTCCCAGTTTAAACATCCATATGCCAGATGAACTGCCTATTAAACTGCAACTGTGAATCAGCAGACAACGTACTTCATCTCATGCCTTGTCCCAATTACTTTAAAAGAGGTATTGCTTTTCAGGTTTGCACAAAGTCCTCTAGAAGCAGATCAAAGTGGGAACACTAGTTCTAGTCAGGTTCAGAGGTGGAAACAAACTTCCTACAAAAATGTACCCAATGTAATCATTAATGTTACAGAGGTTATCATCCTTCCACACATCCCAGAGCAAGGATCCCTCCTTGCAGTGTTGCTATTCCAGTGTCTCCCTTGGGGTCTTCTTCCCCGCTTAGCCCAGATCTCCTTCCCCAAGGTAAAGGCCACCAGTGTCCCCATTCAGCAGCAGAGCTATGAAACACCCCAGATGGTGTAACTCACAGTTGGCCTCTTCCATTGTATTCGCCGCAGCTTATCCTCTGGGAGCAGGTTGGGACCAATGGAGCTGACATGAGCAGGGAAGGTGGCATCCTCAAAAAGCACTCCTTGGCTCAGACACAAGGTTCGCAGGTGGTGAAAGTCCTGATTATTAAATTTCTTCAGCTTCTGGAGGCTTCCAGTTGCCCCTGTTTGCCAGCCCTGCTCCAGTGTCAGAGCAGAGCCGGGGGTGAACATTGTGCCCCTTTCCTGTGATGGAGAGACATGGACCGCCATTAGTTTCCCAATCTGAGGTGGTGCCTTAGGAGTGTGTGGGAAAGAAAACACCTCCGCTCACCCCCCCCCCCCCCCCCC